CCCTCTCTCTTGCTTTTTGCGCTTCCGGGCTTGTCATTTGACCCACATCCCTGCAACAGCCCGCTTCCGCGTGCCTAGATTCTGCAGTAGCTTAAAGCCTCTTTTGAGATGCCAACGCCCGCCTATCTCGTAGGCGGCGGTGTGCAAGAGATAGGGCGGGGCGGTGGCTGATTGGGTGGCTTGCCAATACTTGGGAAAGAATTCTCCAAGCCGTCCCGGAAGTTGGTTTTCACATTTCCGATCGCATATTTTTATTCCTATCTCGACTTGCTTTTCTTCCCCACTCCTTGCCTTGTACTGACGTGGCTTCTAGCGGCTGGCGACATTTGCTTATCTCCCCACCACTGAAGCAAGCAACTGCGTGATTTTTGGCTTCTGCGTCTCAACAACTCGGCTACCAGAGGCATACGGCGGAAGCATCCCGTCCGTGAGCCAGACAGATCGGCCGATAATGCGATGAGCACAGTCTGATATCACTCCCACATATAGTTCCAGGCATATAGAACCAGAAATCATCTCGTTGATCTCTGGGGGATAAACGTGCATCAGAAGATCGGACAAAACTGCCATCTTTTCGCGAAGCGGGGTGACCAAGGCCATGGCATTATCTCTGTCGCGGTTCTTTTGGTTCCCCGCCAAGCCTCCGGGATTTGGAAACTGGGTCGGCTTGAAACGCGGGTTGTTCTCCATCAGATATCAGGTATGCATAAACCTCCCGGAGCCAGAAATATGTGTGCCCCGGGCGACAACGATGCCTTGGACGCCGACCAAAGGAGGGTTTCCCTTCTCCCCGGCCGTTGAAACAGGCCCGTGCGTGCTTCGCCCGCGATCCAGACGGCCGGGAACGCGATCCAAAGCAGACGGGGGTGGGTAGACACGAGACAAAAACCCGCAAAGCCAAATAGATTGAGGGCGGATCCAACCTTTCTGTTTCGTAAAACCACGCAGGTGGGACGGGGCGGTCAGTGTAACCGTTCAGAAGTGAGACACCCGCCCACCGTGGCGGCGTCGGTTACCTGTCTCTTGAGGGCCGACTGTCTCTGAGCACAGAACACCTGCTGGCTCGCTGTGTGTTCCCGGCACAGGGACCATGCCTGCGCATGTTGGGTGCAACGAGGCTGGATCCGATTCACGAGATGGATTGGGCCCTTGCAGCCCAACCTGGCTTTTTTTCTCTCAGTTGTTTGGTCGCTCCCTTCTGGCGCGCTGCTTCCCAAATCTCTCAGTCGACGCCTACGCTCTGGCCATCTACGGGCACCTGCTTATCTCTTGTGGGGAGGAGGAGATATGGAGCGGCAGGAAGCCGCAGTCGAATGTGCGGTGTGCCAAGGTTTTTGGCCCCTTGCGTCTTGCATCCCTTGAACGCGGGCGGGCCGTTTTTGCCCTCACGGGATCAGGCCAGGCCAGGCCAGGCCCGGGGCAAGTGAGAGCGAGAGCGAAAGAGGGATAGACGGGCGCTCGCACGGCCGTCCGGGAATGCGCGTCGTGGGATTCCGCGCTGGCTAGGAGGAAGAAGGGACACAGACAGTGTGGGCTTTTTACGGGTGGCAGGGAGCGACTGCTGTGTTGGGACATGCCACAGCGGGCAAGTGCCGGGCATCATCTGTCGACCGTCAATGGTCAAATTTGCCCTGCTTCGGCCTCCTTCCTCAGCCGCTAGAAGAGTCAAGAACAGCAGATGGGGTTCTTTCTGCTCGGACGTTTTGGCAAAGCAAGTGTGCGAGTTGAGGCTGGGCGGTTGACATGTTCGTTCTCATCTTTATGCAGCTGAGCCTTTTTTTTTTTTTTTCTCTTTTTTTTTCTACGTGTCTGATTGGGGCCCGCGAACTCACTTTGCATCCTTCGCGCAGTCGACTGACAGCCGGGTTCGGACTCCGATTACGATCGGACCATGCCATCCGACTTGAGCTAGGACTAGGATGGCCCTGCAAAATAAGCCATGTCTGCAGGAAACCGCTGCCGTTCGGCTACGAGCAAAGGAAGGAACAAAAAAAGAAGAGGAAAATAAAATAAAATGGAGATTCCACCATCCCTTGCCCCAACCCTACCAGAACCAAGAGCCGAGCTTGATCGCATATTCGTCCTCTCCTAGTTGATGTGACTGTGCACTCATCCTCTTCCCAACAGTCGCTCGTATACGACCTTCACCGGCGCTCCATCCCTTCTGGGACCAGAAGCGCCAGCCCAGCCAACCACAGCGCTGCGGCCCTCCTGCTTGGAGACACACACCCTATATGCGTTCCAAACTTTGTCACACGTCGGCTTCGACGCTCTCGTCCTATCGTCTATCGGCCGTTTCGTCTTTTTTGCTCTGCTCGGCTGCCCTCTCTCCATCTTGGTCCTGTCCCCACGAATCCACACGCGCCATGTGTAGATCTCAAGCAGGAACCACTGACAGCCAGTGAAGAAAAAAAGCCTGACATGGACAGGGACAAGGTCTATGGTTCCATGATTTTTCTCCTCTCCCCGCCAGGCCGCGCCCTGGTCAAGCGCTCCAGGGTTGCTACCTATTTGCCCACTGTTTTCTTTTTCCCCTTTTGGCCTTGGGCTGATGGGGACACGTCGAGGTGGGGGTGGATTCCGCAAAGTAGGAATTGTGCGAGTGGGCAGCAAAGCAGCTCGCATCTGTGGGTGTCGAGCTGGCCAGCAAGAGAGAGAAAATAATGCCCTGGCACTTGCTCAGCGGAATCCACATCCCGTCCGCAGCAGAACTGGAGCTCGAGTATGACATGAAGGGGGTGTTTCCATCCGCGTCTTGGAAATGAGGCCTGGGAACCGAACGAGAGGTCGTAGACGACAGCCTGCGTCCTCGTCATGGGCCTTTCACCACGCCCTACGCGAGCCAACACCATTGGCCGACGATGGACACACACACACACACACACACACACACACACACACACACCACCCTACAAGAGTGGAGAGAGGACTACCTACCA